TTTTTGGTTTTGTGTTGTTGGGGATCAGCCTAGGGTCTCACGCATGTTAGCAGGCACTCTACTTTGAGCTGTACCTCCAGTCCACACCCTCCTCCAAAAGTCCTAATCTCCAGTTGCTCAGACTATAACTGTGTTGGGAGATAAGGCCTTCAATGAGGTAATTTACGTCAGGTGAAGACATTAGCTAGGACCCGAATCTAGTGTGACCCGTGTCCTTATGAAAGGAGATCAGGACACAGACACAGAGAGGAACAACCGTGGGAGGTCATCATAGGAAGATGGCATGTGGAAGCCCAGGAGAGGCCTTGGGAGAAGCCATAGCCCAGGCTGCCCACACCTTGACTTTGGACTCGCAGCCTCCGTGCTCTGAGGAAAAGGGTTCTTGTGGCTGGAGTGTCCTTTACTGTGTGTTTTAGATATGGAAGAGCTGCCACTTGACACAGCCCTGGTCACAATCATCAGGCACAGCAAAGACGATCTGCTAGATTGCTCAGGGGAAGCAGTAGTATTGGCACGTCACGAAAGGCTGCTTCTATATGCCGGGGCAGAGAAAGTGGTCAGCTCCTGGTGTGGCTGATGTCACAGCCAGAGGCTTCTGTCCTAACACTCAGGCTTTCGAGATGGCTGCCCAAACTCTGTGGGTCACATGGGGGGTGGGGAGAAGGCTGAGAAGGGAGGAGCCTTCCTGGAGCAATGAAGATGAGTCACAGAAGCTGCTCATTACCAGCTGACCAAGAGACACCTGATAAGCTCCAGGAACTTTTATCATCACAGCAGCTGGTGACACAGCTGACCACCTAGGTTTTACAGAAGAGGAAAGACATAAAAGTCATCTGTAATTTGTCCAAGTTAGCCTTGCTCTTCCCACCCACAGGGCCCCTTCAAAGGCCTCGCCTAGTGACTGGCTCCTTGAGGCCCAAAGATGTGCAAATGCCTGGAAAGGCTGGCTGCCTTCCTATTGGTTGGGTGAGAACTATAGAGTGGTACAAAACATGACAATACAAAAATATGTGGTCTTAGAGTAGTACAAGGGGGATCAGAGAACACATTCTGTTTTTCTTTTCCTTTTTTTTTTTTTGGTTCTTTTGAGTCAAGGTGTCACTATGTATTTAAGCCTGGCCTTGAACTCACTGTGATCCTTCTGCTGCTGCTTCTTAAATGCTGAGATTGCAGACATGTTATGCCACATTCAGCTAAAACCTTGATTTTAGACAAATTTTTAATAAGAGCTTAAGAGGGAAGAAATTTGTTTTTCCTTACTCTAGATTCAGGGCATTAATGTTAATAGGAATTTCTTAAACTGTTGGTAAATATACCAAGAAATAAAACCAAAACAATTCATCACACAGGCTTAGCGATTTTTTTTTTCCCTTTTCTCTCCCCTCCCCTCCCCTCCCCAACTCTCTTCTCTGTTCCCTTCCCCTCCCTTCCCTTTCTCTCCTTTCTTTTCCTTTTTTTGGTGCTGGGGACCAAATCCAGGGACTCATGCATGCTAGACAAGTGCTTTATCACTAAGCTACACCCTCAACCTTATCAAACATTTCAACTCAACAACATTCGAGCCCCTACAATGTGCAAGGCCAATCTCTCAGTGAGAAATTGAGTCACCAGCTAAACAAGCCAAGGTGGTGGAAAATGTACTGACATATTTTACATTATCTCAGTTTGAGCCATGCTGCAAAGTCCTTTGAATTTATAGAACACTCCATCCACAGATAAGGTTCTATGCTGCCCTGCCCACAGTGATGGCTAGTGGTCCCGCCAAAAGGGCTTCAGGTCTCTGTTTTTTGCTTAAATGTTAGATTCCTGGTATTAATCTCCATTAGAGTTTCTTAAACTGGTGTATGCACTTAGTAGCACCAAGCAGATCTTGAGCAAATGTTCATGAATTTGCAAATAATTATAGTACTTCAGTTTGAAGATGTGAGTCCTCAGTGTGGGCAGGGCATTTATTTATTTATTCATTTTTTATATTTAGTGCAGGGCCTATAGGGCTACAGGGTCTCGCTACACAGATCAGACTTACAGTGACTCTTCTGTTCTCAGCTTCCCAAACGCTGGGATTATAGGTGCGCGCCACCACTCCCAGTCTCAATCGCCATCTCAGTGCACCCCAGGGGTGAGGCCTGCATGGTAGGCTGGGCTGACCCCTGCATCTGCCTAAGCAGGAGGCTTTAATCCACTGAGCTATTTGGCCAGCCCTTATTTTCTCTTTGAGACAGGGTCTAGCTATGCAGTTCAGGCTGGCCTTGAGCTCACTTTGTAGCTCAGGCTGGTCTTGAATGCCCAGTGATTCTTCTGCCTCAGCCTTGGGAGTGCTGGGATTACTAGGATTACAGGCTTGCACCACCACGTCTGGCGAAGAATATATGCTTGCCAAGTTTCTGACTTTGGGTTTTTTTGGGGTACTGGGAACCAAATGCAGGACCTTGTATTTGCTAAGCAGGTGCTGCGCCACTGAGTTATATCTTTGGCCACAGAATGAATTTAATATGTGGTAACATTTATTGTCCTCCACTTCCTTCCTGTATCTTAACCTTGAAAATGTCCTGGAATCCTGGTTCGGCTGTTTTACCTCAGCTGTTTTAACTTGATTCCAACCTATGCCCTGCTATGAGACTCCACAGAGTAGGGTGCCTGGCAGGAGTTGGGGCTACACTTTCCCCTCAAGGGCCCACTTTCTGTTTCACTGGTTTCATTCACAGGAAGGTGGAGGGATGAGGGAGAGCCAGGCAGAACTACAAGGCTTTGGAAAGGAACACACCAGTCATGGGCTGTACCAGCACAAGGCCATGGGTGAGTATGTGAGAAGACAGAAACAAGTGGCTTGGCACCTAGCAGGGTGAGTGATGGGTGGGGCTGCTGCACAGGGAGTCCATCCTGTGTCCTCACAGCAGCTCTGCTTGTACTGTGGCAGGCACCACACACAGGTAGCAACCCTGTTACATCCCCACTGCAGGCGGCAGGCTGCTGCATGCTTTGGCAGCCACAGCTCTTCCCTCTGTCCTCGCACTTTGCTGGAAGCCAAGACACTGAACCTGGATTGGCCCAGGTTCAGGTGCAGGCTCCACTCTTGACAGAGGCTCCAGCAGCCAGAGGCCGTTACCAGGACTTGAAAACTCTTAGCAAGGGGAGATGAGAGGAAGCTCAAAGTAAGTTGGGAGGTGGCTGAGGAAAGAGGAAGGAAGACAGATAAAGATAGCTCTTCAGAGCTGGCAAGATAGCTCAGTGGACTGCGTGCCTGCTTTGGCAAATGCAGGGACCAGGGTTTGATCCTTGGTTAGTCCTGCATGCTGTGCAGCCCCATGGGCGTGACAGATCCAACCAGAATTCTAGAGTCCTTGCTCTTTTTTGAGGACCAAAAGAAAGATTATAATTAAGGAAAAATGTTTCTCATCAAGATTTTTTTCCTCCAAAGGCATAGTGGTGCATGCGTAGGATTCCAGTACTTGGGAGGCTGAAGCAGGAGGATTGTTCCAAGTTTGAGGCCCGTCTGGGCTAGCGTGAGCTCAAGGCCACCCTCACAGCAAGACCCTGTCTCAAAAAAGACAAAACAAGAGATGTTTTCTGGTTTCCATTTAGCGTCGGCACTGAGCAAATACAGTAGTAGTGGTGGATGAGGTCACACCACACCAAAGCATGTGTGGAGCATTTCCTTCTGGTCTTGTGTTGCACAGGACACCTACCTGTGGTACCTTGAATTCTTAGCCACAGCTAGAGGCTGCATTTCATCAGCAGAGTCAGGAGCCCTATGTATTACCTATAGGTTAATTCAGGCTTTAGCTTTACAGTTAAGACACAAACTTAGAAACGCTGATTAACAGGCATGGGGGTGCATGCCTGTAACCCCAGCACTCAGGGGGGCCGAGGCAGGATGATCACCCTGTGTTTGAGGCCAGCCTGAACTACAAATCAAGACTCTGCCACACACAGAGAAAAGAAACACTATTAAAGTCAGTAATAGTGGTTTAAACAATAAAAAGCACTTCAAAAAATTTAGAGACTGGGCGTGGTGGCACATAACTGTAATCCCAGCTTTTGGGAGGCTGTAAACAGGTGAATCACTGAATTCGATCTAGTAGTGAGACCCTGAACACCTTGTAGACCCTTCCCTAAAAATACAAAAAAAAACAAACAAACAAAAAAACTTTTAGAAGTATAAATCTCATTAAAAAAATCAAAACAAACTGGAGAAATTCAGATATAAAATCTGGTGTGCTGAGTCAGTTTAGGATTAACCTTCAGCAAGTTCAGCCTCAGAAGCCTCATGCTGGGGCCAGGGACAGAGCAATGCAAGATCCTGAGTTTGATCCCTGGTACAGAAAAAAAAAAAAGCCTCATGCTGGCTGAGCTGATGTCTTTAAGCCCAAAGGCACGGTGGATGCTCTGTCCTGTCTTGTGGGTACAGCCACCAAGTCTGCCCTTTCATACTCTGACCTTCAGCAAACATTCCTGTGTCCACTACAGGCCAGATATTCCAAATGAGGTGCATCTTCTCAAAAGTTTTTAGTGACAGATTAAGATGTAATCCACATATCAATTCTTGTAGCCCAAGTTGACCTCAAATTTGCAACAATTCTGGCTCAGCCTCAAGGGATTACAGGCATATGCCACCATGCCCTGCAAGCTAATAGTTTTTCAAATGACCTAGTTCTTAGGGCCCTTACAGATTTTTAATGGGACCTTTCAAGGAAGCTGGAATCAGGAATTCCCAGGAACTCTAGTTAGTAGTGTTTGTCTCCAGCTTGCTATTTTGTGACATGTTAAACATCATCAGTAATTAGAGTGATGTCAAGAGGAATCAGGACTCAAAGTAAACTAGACAGAGCACCGAGTAGATGAAAGTGTACCTACCTTCCTTGGACCCTTCTAGCTGAAGTCTAGCCACTGCCCTCAAGAGAAGCTAGAGCCCCTCCAGGACAGAACACACCTGTCTCAGGAAGGTAAATGAGACACTGACGCTTGTGGGGTTTTTTTTTTTGAAACTAAATACATTTTAATAGAAAACAAAATACAAAATAACTCTTTTCGGAAAACAGAAATATTTAATCCTTTCCCCATACATTAGAACTTGCTTCATCCTCAGGGCACAGTTTGACATGTGCACGCACACTCAGGATTCACCTTGTGACGCGCTCACTTCCAGAGAGCTGATTAACAGCCACTCTGAAGTCTAACGCTACAATTCTATCTTGTGACTTACTGCAAATTATTCTTTACCATATCTTTTTCTTCTTGGTGGTACTGGGGATTAAACCCAGGGCTGTACATAGGCTAGACAAATGTACTACCACTAAGCTGCACCCCACCCTACCATAATCTTTCTTTTTAGGGGAAAGAATTATTGATAGAAATGCAGCCAAGAAAGACTCTTTACCCCGTCACTGCAGGAGCCCAGTGTTCTCAGTCACCCTACCCACTGACTTCCATAAACATGTTATTTGGTGTGCTCAATGTGCATTCAAGACCTCACTTTTTTCTGATACACTGTGCCACCAAAATCTCTGAATTCCCTGAAGCTCAAAATTACAAGTATCACAGCCAGTGCCAGGAGTCAAACCTGAAGATAAAAGCAGAGATGTTCCCCTCTGCCAGTGCTAGGTCTCCTCTTCGCAGTAATAATAATAATCAATAATAATAATTAAAAAAAAGCCTGGTTCTGTCATACAGGAAAAGGATCATCCCTCCCTTTCCCAGTTGTCCCCACTTCCCTCCTTGAGGGTGGCCCAACTAAGGGCATCTAGGGGTGCTGTGGAGGGCACTTGGCAACTACCCTCAGTAAGCACACTGGGAGGAGAATAAGATGCAAACGGGAAGGTGCTTGCACATGGGGTCCCAAGGGTCCTCTAGGAACATGCCACCGACCTCAAGGCATCCCAGTGTTCATCTCAAGTCCAGGAGTCACTGAACCATGCCCTGGCCCAGCCTGAGTCCTATAACACTGAGGCTGCATGGGGTTGGGCTCTTTCACAGTCTGTCAGTAACTTGCTCAGTACATCCATGCTGTGGCCAGAGGCCTCTCACTACAGCCCAGTCCATTCTAGCCAATGTAAGAATCAGTGCTCTTGATTCTCCTGTGCGATTCCGGTCACCAGAAGCAGGTTGCAGGCCATGAACTGCACACTTAGAACACTGCTCATCTGTCCAGTGTAGACACCCACAAGCTCACTGGAGGAGCCATCTGCAGGTGTGCTACCGCATGTGTTCCGGAGGTCCCACACACGCACTGAGTTGTCCATGGAGGCAGAGGCCACTAGGCCACTATCAGGGCTGAAGGCGAGGCTGGTGATACTGTCTGTGTGGCCTCTCAGCTCTTTAAAAAGGGTCCCAGAGGCCAGGTCCCACAGTTTCAACCGCTGGTCCTCGCCAGCAGATGCCAAGTACTTCCCATTGGGAGAGAAAGCCAGAGAAAGCACGGGGCCACGGTGGCCTGTGAAGAGCCTCACTGAGTTCCCCTGCTGGGCACTCCACAGCCGGACAGTTTTGTCAGTTGAACCTGTGGCTAAATAGTTAGAGTTAGGGTGGAATCTGACACAGTCCACATCTGCCAGGTGTCCTGCATATATCCTCAGCGGATACGTCCGATCGAAGGACCACAGCCTGGCAGTGCGGTCATGGGACCCACTGGCAAAGTATAGGCTGTAGGGGCTGATATCCAGGTCCCACACTGGGTAGGCATGTCCTTGGTACAGCACAGTGTTGGTGAAACTCCCCAGATCCCAGTACCGGATGGACGTGTCCTCAGAACAAGAGAGCAACCCTGAGCTGTCCGTGAGGAAACGTGTGCTGTATACTGGTCCACAGTGTCCCCGTAGGATCTTCATCTCTGTGCCTGCACTCTCCTCCTCATCCTCCTGGGACATCAGGGTGGGATGAGAGAAAAACACACAATAAAAAAATGTTTATTGGTCTCACATGGAATCCAGGCCCAGGAGAAGAACAGACAAAGGTCAACGTACTTGAGAAATAGCACCTGCACCAACAGTGATCCTGCCCTATTCACACCTGGAAAACAATCTCCACAGAACTTAGTAACTTGGCAGAGGTGCAACCTGCCCAATGTTTTTTTTAAAATCCACCCTGCAAGCACATCAGTTGCAGGAGAACAAGGCTGTTATCACCTCATCCTGCCTGCATTATTCAAATGGAGAATAATGTTGTATCAGATCTGGCTGAAGGCAGCTGATGGTAACTTTTACTGATAACTCTGATGTATGTCATCTAAAAAGATTTGCATTGGGCCAGGGAGATGGCTCAGTGGAATAAGTGCTTCCCTGGCAAGTGCAAGGGCTTGAGTTCAATCCCTGATTCTTCCAAAAAAAAAAAAAAAAAAAAAAAAAAAAAAAAAAAAAAAAAAAAAAAAAAAAAGAATGAAAAGATTTGCTTTTAAGTTCTTATATTCTCCTCCATGGCACACCATCTTCCATCAGTTCTAGCTGCTTTATAAGCCTTGTAGCTCCATGCTTTTATTCCATTTAAAAATATCCACACAGAGCAGGGGATATAGCTCAGCAGCACAGTGCCTGCCTGGCAAGTGCAAGGTCCTGAGCTCAATTCCCAGTACCAAAACCAAAAACAAAACAAGCAAAAGTATCCATGCAGGTGTATTATCCCCACAATGGGAAAATGATGAAGGGAGCCACGTTTGCACACAGACAAGATCTCACTTCACAAATAATGCAGAACTATGGAGTTGGCCAAAATACAACCTAGATATGTAAGAACAGCATGGCAGTGAGGGTGTAGCTCAGTGGTAGTGCTTGCCAAGTATGCTTGAGGACCTGAGTTCAACCCCCAAGTACTGATACAAAAGAAGTTTAAAACAGTGACTTTCTGGAGGGCCTTAGACATTTCTTCCAAAGAAAGAAGATAAGTCATGGATCAGGAAGTGCTAAATAAAACAAAGCCAAGTAATTCCTGTGACTCCTGGAAATAATTTCTATACATGAGGATGGGAGAGCAGACAGCTAGCAAGAGTGCTTGGGGTCCGCTCCCATAGCCTTCCCCACATTGAGCTCACTTGCTTTCAAATTATTTTCTTTTTTCCCTCACAGACAAGCTTCTTTAACTACAACTGTCTCTATCCTGGGATTTATGACTGTAATAAACTTTCACTAAGCATTAAAAGAAGCAGGATGAATACTGCTGGTTTCTACAGAGCAAAGGGGACATCAGTTTTGCAAGGTACCCTCCTTTTTTTTTAAAAAATAAATTTTATTTATTTATTTGTGAGTGTGTGTGTGTGTGTGTGTGTGTGTGTGTATCAGCCCACCAGGGGGCAGGGCTGGCTGGCATGTGGTGCTGGGGGATTGAACCGCAGTCCATGTGCTTTGCTAAGCTTGTTCTAAGTAGGTGCTTTAGATCACTGAGCCATCTCATCAGCCCCATTTTTTAACTTTTTGAGACAGGGTCTCACTACACAGTTCAGGCTGGCCTTAAGTTAACTTAGTAGCCCAGGCTGGTCTTGAACTCCCAACAATCTTCCTGCCTCAGCCTCCTGAGAGCTGGGATTACAGGCATGTGCCACCATGCCCATTTTTTTTTTTTTTTTTTTTTGAGACCAGTTCTAACTATGTTGTCCAGGCTGGTCTTGAACTCACAGCAATTCTCCTGCCCCAACCTCCCAAGTGCTGGGATTACAGGCATATGATGTACCCTGTTGACTATCAGGAAGTTGGGCTTCTGAGTAGATTAAAACTGGAAAGCGAGTCAGGCATGGTGGCACACATCTGTAATTTCTGCACTTGAGAGGCTGAGCTGGAAGACTGAGAAGAGTTTGAGACCAGGTTGGGCTGCCAAGTGAGTTCAAGGCCAGCCTGAGCTACACACTAAGACCTTGTCACAAACAAACAACCCCACCCAAAACCCAACAAAACCCCCAAACCAACCTCCAAAATAAACCCTCCTAAAACAAACCAAAACCAACAGAAGAGATAACAGATTCCATTAGTATTTAAGATTTTGCTCCTATGTTCAGATAGCATTTTGCCCATACTAAATACATTATTTTATTTATATATTTATTCATTTATTTTGGAGACAGGGTCTCACTATGTAGTTCAGGCAGGCTTTGAATTCACTACATATCCCAGACGGGGCTCAAACTTGCAGTGATCCTCCTATCTCTGGCCCCCAAATGCTGGGAATTATAGATGTGTACTCCCACAACTGGCCCATACTGAATACACTGTTATTTTGAAGTACATTCCTAAGATTAATTTTGACAGTGTTTTAATATTTTTAAATACAGCCACTAGAAAAATCCAAATCACATGTGTGGGCTCATATCATACACTCACTGGACAGCATTTACCTAATAACAGCTTTACATACAAGTTACAGAACTGAGGTTTCTGACAACACTACTCCTCTGAGAGGTCTTCAAGGACAGCAGCTGTGACATGAACTAAAAGACCCAAAAGGATGAACACAGGTGTTCTATGCGGGCTGCAGAGCTGCAGGAGTGGGGTAGGATGGGGTACAGTGTGTGGGTGTGCACACATGCCAAAGAGAAACACCGAGGCTGGCTTCTTTGCAGTTTTGCCTTCTGTGCAGACAATGAAATACACAGCTGTTAAGCAACAAGGCCAAGAGCCAGGCACCTCTTGGTCCCCTCTCATCCAGAGCAGATGCACTAGTTGGAGCAGGAGATAGCTGCTAGCCCCACCTCAGAGCTGACCTAGAGCATCCTCATCAGGATAACAAAAGCTAGAGGAAACTGCCACATGGCATAATAGAGAAAACTTTATGCTTGTGTAGGGACATTCACTTACTGTTTCTTCCCTATGCTTATTATTTTGCTTTCCATAGCACTAGAGATAGAAGTTGAATGCAGGGCCTTGCACATGCTAGGCATGTGCTCTACTCACTAGCACTACTGCTCTTTCAAAACTGAGGTGGGATGCACATGCTGTAAAATTCATAATTTTTTTTTGGCCAGCTCAGCCTACCCTGAGGGTGGGGCTGGCACAGCATGTGGAGCAGGGGATCAAACTGTGTCCCCTGAGCCTGCCTACGTTTGCCTAAGCAGGCACTTTAGACTGCTGAGCTATCTTGCTGGCCCAAATTCCTAATTTTAAAGTTTATTAACTCAATGATTTTAGTGCAGTCATGTAACTAGCAGCACTTTTTTTTTTTTTTTTGACAGTCTTTCACTATGTGGTTCAGGCTGCCCCTGAACTTACTATGTAGTCCAGGCTGCCCTTGAACTTATGGCAATCCTGCATCAGCCTTCTGAGTGCTAGGATTACAGGCCTGCGCCATTATGCCCGGAGCTATTGTCCTTTATATTGATTTTTAATGCCAGAACAATCTCCAAAGTATGTATTATCAAGGCTAATAAGATCAGTAAAAACACTAGTTTTTTTTTGTAATTACAGAAAATTGGAGGTAAAGGAGCATCCCTGAGTTGTATATGAAGCAGCAGTCAGAAAGTCTCCAGTCACAGATAAGTTTTAAGATTCATACAAGTGAGCCAGATGTGGTGGTGCATGTCTGTAATCCCAGCATTTGGGAGGCTGAGGTAGGACTGTTGCAAGTTCAAGAACCAGCCTGGACTACAAAGTGAGCTAAAGGCCAGCCTGAACTGCATAGCGAGACCCTTTCTCAAAAAGATTAAAAAAAAAACAAAACCAAAACAAGATTCATACAAGTGTAACAGATGTTCTGTGGGATCGTAGAATTCTAGAAATCAGAGCTGAACAGGGAATCTAGATTCTTTATTAACCATAACAAGATCTCTCTATCCTATTCTTTCAGCAAGAACCAAAGTGCAAAGACCATAAGATTACTGGGGACTCAACACAGGGACAGGTGCAGGAAGCCAAGGCTTCTGCTTCCTGCATGATATTCCCAAATCCTCATAAGCAGCTGCATAGCCAGAGTGAGGTTTTACTCTGAGTCTCAACCCTGTCCAACAATCTTACATGCCAAGTACCTTGAGGCAAGGCTCCTGACTTTAAGTGGTGACAGGAGAAAAATGTTTGCCCCAACTTGTGCAGGCCTTCAGGGTGTCGACCTTGCAAAGCTGACTTGTCTACTTTGGACCACATTCTTTCAAAGCCCCATCTGTGATGTGGAACTCAGGCTGCCAGGGCTTCCCTTTGTTCTCATGCCTGTACCCCAAAGCACAATCTGGCCACAGAGCACTGCACTGATTGAGAGGACATGGTGGCTCTGCTTCCTGTGTCACTTTCCACAGTGAGGTGTGGAGATACCTGGGTATAGTGAACCAGAGGATGAGCACTGGCCTCACAAGGCTGGTCCCACCCAGTGCAGAGATGCCAGTGTGTTGGTAAGTGTGAAACAGCACTGATTTCTGTGGTGAACAAATAGTCAAAGCAGACCTTTGACCCAGTAGCATCACTGATTTTCTCTCAATTTCTGCATGAAGGACTAAATGAAGGGCCTTTGCATTAGCCACATTCCCAATCTTCACCTTTTTTTTTTATTTAAAAATTTTAAAAAGACAGGGTCTAAGTCATTCAGTTGCCCAAGTAGGGCTTCAGCTTTTAACCCTCCTGCCTCATTCTCTCAGAATGCTGGGATTACAGGCATGTGCTACCACATCTGGCTATATTTCTGATGTCTATAGAGTTGTACAGTAGTGTGCACACTTGCAAATGGACACCAAGTATAATCTCAACTAAAGTCAACATTAGATAAAGGTCTTTAGTTAGGTTTGGTGATAACATCTAGTTTTCAGACAGCAATAAATATTGGTTACTCATTTGTATAGCTAAGTTAATGCTGTGAGAAAAGTTTTTGCATTGAAGTGAGGGATGAGGATTCAGTGCCTAGTTAAATGGCATTAGTTTGGCTGTGGCTGCATGATGAAAGGGATAAGTATTCTCCTTGAGAGCTGTCAAGTTTGGGAAGCTTTTCTAATAGGAGGAAGAGCAAGGAAGAAAAAGCAACACCCCTACCTCTTCTTCCAGAGTATCACAAGCCAAACGGATATGTGACGTGTCTACAAGGTGGGGCTCTGATTTCAACTTCTTGGACCGCAGACTCCAGAGTTTTATGCAGGAGTTATCAAACCCAGCAGCAAGCAGCTTGCTATTGGGGGCAATTTCTGCAGTGTTTAGCAGCTGCTCTGTGTTGTAGAAGGCGTAGCAGCAGATGGTGGTGAGGGAGGGGGGGCCCTCCCTGACACGTTTGATGCTCTCCTGTAAGGCCTCCAGGGCAGCCTCATTCTGCAGAATGGGGCTGGGCACATCTGGGGGCTCCAGGCTGCTACTCTCACTGCGGGAGGAGCCACCACTGGTGTAGAGCTGGTAGTCTGTTCTCTTGGCAGGCTGCACATCCAGGTGGATATGTAAGGTGAGGACCTTGCAAAGAGCACTGTTGTTGTCACTTTGGAGGTAGCGGATCAGGTAGTTGTAGCTGTCTTCCTGGAGACGGACCACGTACTTGTTATCTAGGAATGCACGAAGCTTGAAGTTGGACAGGATGTCCTGGATGGTTTGGGTGGTCTGCAGCTGCTCAATAACATCCTTCTGACTTGCATTCTGCAGGAACATTCCATGGAAGCGGCTATAGAAACTTTCCACTGTGCTCTTCGGGCTGCTCTGGATCAGGCTGAGATGGAGGTAGACAAACAGTGGGTAGAGGAGAGGCATAACTTCATGGCTGTACTGAGAATCAGAATCTGCAACGAAAGGAAGAGAAGGCTTAGAAGAGAGTTTTCCTAGAAAGCCTGCTCTGCCCCTGTAACACTTTTGAGGTAGGATTCCGTTTTTTCAGACTACTGATTAAAAATCAGCTCACGGAGAACACTAGAGTTTCAATTTTTCCTTTGTTATTTTTTAATTTTTTAAAAAATGTATTTAGTACTGGGTCTGCAGGGTCTCACTACATAGACTTGTAATGATCCTCATGTTTTCAGCCTCCCAAGTGCTGGGATTACAGGCATGTGCCACCACGCCCAGTCTCAACTGGCACAGCTTGTGGTGCCAGGGATCTGCTCCACCTGAGCTACCTGGCCAGCTCAAGTTTGTTTTTCTGATGGGAGAGAAGCATGGACTCTGCAGTCTAGCCTAGGGAGTGAAGGACTTGCCCATACTCTCACAACTCAATAATTTTGTATTTGGCCTTCAAGTGCACAGCATTTCTTAAACATAAAAATCCAGTCTTGAGGGTTCTTAGATAGGTTCTTGGGAGACTGAACATTCTTTGCAAATTCTTTTAATTTTACTTTATTTACTTATACAGGGTCTCGCTGCACAGCTCAGACTTGGGCTGATCCTCTTATCTCAGCCTCCCCCAGTGCTGGGATTACAGGAGTGCACCACCACACCTAGTTTCAGTGGCTGGCTCGGCACAGGGGCTAGGGATCAAACTCGGGTCCTTGCACTTGTCAGGCAGGGACTTAGACCACTGAGCTATCTCCAAATTTACTGAAAAAAAAAAAAAAAAAAAAAAAAAAAAAAGTCCAGCTGGGCATGTTCATGCATGCCTGTAATTCCCACATTTGTGAGGCAGGAGGATCCATGTGAGTTTGAGGCCAGCCCGGGCTACATAGTGAGTTCAAGGCCAGCCTGAACTACATAGACTACCTCAAAACTAAAAAATAACTTTTTTTTTTTTTTTTTTTTTGGTCTTTGAGACAGGGCCTTGCTATACAGTTCAGGCTGGCCTTGAATTTGCAATGATACTCTTGCCTCAGCTTCACAAGTACTGGGATTATAGTCATGCACCACATCAGGCTAAACCTACATTTTTATAGTACATAATGATTTAAAATGACTTTACAGTACATAATGTACACTATGTAAATACTTTCCAACTTCATGATAATCTTTTTTTTTTTTTTTTAAGGCAGGGTCTCATAATGCAGCTGGCCCTGAACTCAGTGATCCTCCTGCCTCAAGACTACCAAGTGTGCTGAGATTACTACCATGCCTGGCTGGCATGTCCTAATGTTAAAATGATAATACTGATTCAGGGTTGTTTCATTTTTCTATTCATTTTGACTTTTTGGGATGAATTATGTAGATCAGGACAGCCTCAAATTTGAAACAAATGTACTTTAGCTGTTAGGATTATAGCTGTGTACCACTATTGGCTGTTTTTTGGTTTTTTTTTTTCCGGTACAAGGAATTGAACTCAGGGCCTTGCTTGCCAGGTAGGTGCTGTGCCACTGAGCTACCTCCTAACACAGCGTTCAAGAACTGTCTCACTTTGTCACATGTTAATGGGAAAAAAGGTATTGTGTATCACCTAAGAGGTCTTTTATCAAGAGGAGGCCACAGCATGGTGTGTGAGGGGAGCCACAGCAGGAAATAAACCACTGCCTCATGCTGGTAAGATCCAGTGCTTCCCAGACTTCTGCTCCCAGCAGAGGCCAATCTGGGAAAAAGTCATTCATTACATACATTCACGGTTAATTTGAACTTTATTGCTTTTGTGGTTTTACTTGTTTATTTGTAATGATTGTGGTTTTTTTTTTTAATACAATTACTTTAAAGGTTTTATACTGAGTGTAATCTTTATACATATGTAAGTAAGTTAACATAAAAAACTTTTTAAGTCAGCACTTAGGTCCTGCTGGGATTGTTTTTCTAATTGTGAGAAGGCATCTACATTGAACTCAATGTACAAACACAGAATTAGAACACATTACTGCTGATAAAAAAAAAGGACTCTATTTCACTACTCCAGTGTAAATTAATTGGTACAACTACAATTCAGAATAGACAAACTTCTTCTCAAATACATACCCAGAAGATGAGATTAAATGACCAGAAATTATCCCACTGGGTTAGAAGTTAACACACCATCCACATGTAGGCTGCTCCTCTGTCTGAGTCCCCAGCTAAACTGGGGTCTCTGTGCTGTCTGGAGTAAGGAGGAGTATATTTGGCTTAAGATCCCTCATAGGAGGGGGAAAAAAAAAATCACTCACAGCATCTCTTAGGACTACTCTGAGAAAGTACAACCACCCGATCCAAGCAGGATCACTAATGGCCCTCATCCTTAAGGATACAGTTTGCATCATTCTACCAGGTAAGGAACCTTGATGTCCCAAGATGCATACAGAATAGCCCACAGAGGAGGACAGCTATGAAGGCCAAATACAAACACACAACCAGGTACAGAAGGGTAACTCTGTCATTAATATTTCTCCAGTCTGTTTTATGTCTGCGTGTGCACTGATATACCTCCCCCTATTATACCTGTGTAATATAACCCAAGATGTACTAACTTTTTAGTGCAGCACTTAAGGATTGTTAGCCTTATATTATGTCTAGCATTTAAAAAAGGTAAGAGAGGATTACAGAGAAGACCTGCCCTTATTGAAGGGTTCTGCTCCTCCTGACAAAGGGTGAGGGTAGTTTTGGCTGCGTATTGGACAGCTGCTTTGGGTTAGGCAGACTGTGACCTTTTATTAGAAGATTAAATATGGAATAAAAAGATGCTGAGTATGTTAAGCTGATGAGAGATGGGCTTGTGATGACTAATTCCATGTTTTACTTTTTTGTGTGTGTGGGCGGAGCCCATCCTGGGGGCAGGGCTGGTGCAGAAGGTGGTGCTGGGATGGAAATGTAGTCCCTGAGCTTTACCTAAGCAGGTGGTTTACACTGCTGAGCTATCTCACCAGCCCTAATTCCATGTTTTAAACTGGCTGAGCTATCCCCAGGTATTCGATCACACGTTATTGTATATGGTCCTATGAAGTTTTTTTTTTTTTTTTTTTTGGGTGGGGACATGATCTTAATGAGAAGTTCAGACTGGTTCTGAGTTTACTTTGTAGCCCAGGCTGGTCTCCAACTCATAAAGATCCTCCTGCCTCAGCCTTCCAGTACTGTGGGATTACAGGTGTGTGCCAGCATGCCTTCTCTATGAAGATATTTTGTAGCAGAGATTAACATATAAATCGATAGCTCTAATGTTAAAAGGAAGTAGATTTAAAGCAATTGTCCTTCACACATAGGCCTTAGCCAAGCAGCAAAAGAAAAAGACTGAAGTGTCCCAGGAGAAATGATTCTACAGCAGACAGCCTCCGGTTAGGATTGTAATATCAAATTCAGCCTGCTGGCCTGCCCTTCAGATTGTAATTTGCTACAAGTATCTCTTCCCCTATATCCTATTAGTTCTATTTCTCTGTAGAATCCTAAGGCAGATTTTGATGTTTCTTTAAAAGTTGTAATTTGCTGAAAGACTTCTGGAAAAATTATTTCCCCAAATACTCCAATGTACTATTTTTTCAGGGGAGGGGTACTGGGAATCGAATTCAGGTTTGCCAGGCAGGCACTGCACTGCACAGTTCCCTCAATGTACTATTTATTAAAAAAAAGAGAAAAGGGTCTGTCTTTATCAATTAGACTTCTAATATGTTTTAGTGGGATGATGGATCACTTTTAACTCCTTAGAATTTTACTTTCAGGCTTATTTTTTAAAATGACAGACATTTTGCATTAAGTTTAGGGAAAATGAGTTACCAAGAAAGTGATACAATGCCAGGGACCACTGTGCCCACTTGTAAACCTAGTACTTAGGAGGCTGAGGCAGGAGGATCAACACAAGTTCAAGACCACTCTACACTTTACAGTGAGTTCAAGGTCAGCTTAAGCTATTCAGAGAGACTAACAACATCAAAACAAATAGAAACACTGATGCATACTTTAAATGTGCCGAAATTCATTGCTGCTTTACCTCCAAACTGCTCTCCCAGGTCTGAAGATAAAACGTATGCTTGGTGTGGTGGTGGGGATGGTGGTAAAGTCAAGTTTCATTGAAAATTTTGTTCCTTTGCAATAACACTCTATTTCGCTAAAAGTGTACTTACTTAAAATATTCTCTTCTAACTTGGAAAGAAACTCTCTAAAAAGTATGCTTTCCCTTCTCTAACCACTGCTGAACATGGAGTAGGTGCCCAGCGGTGCCACACTGCCACATAAGCAGAGGTCAGCTTAATCCTGAGGTATGTGCACACAAGACTGCATTTGTAGGGCCAGCCAGATAACTCAGCAGATTAAAGTGCCTGCTTAGGCATACCCCGGGGGGGGGGGGGGGGGGGGGGGTTTGATCCCTGGCATGCCATGCCGGCCCTGCCCTCAGGGGCCCACTGAGACAGGAGATTGAGACTGGGCATGATGATGCATGCCCGTAATCCCAGCACTTGGGAGGCTGAAAAGCAGGAAGGATCACTACAAATCCAATCTGTGTAGTGAGACCCTGCACTAAATACATAGGAAAAAAAAAAAAAAAAAAAGACTGCATTTGCATAAAAGGAGAAAGCAACTAAGGTAGGTGGGGAAGTCAGAAAAGGCTTTACAGGCAGGAAAGATTATACTGGTACCTGCAGGAAGGGCTGGGTTTCAGTGGTCCCATAAAGAAAAGCAATGTCATCAGTGTATGAGAAGTCTAGAAGCAGCAGGTGAAAAGTGAAAGGATGCATCCAACAGCAAAGCAGCATAGGGAACAAGGACTAGTTCAGAAGCAATGTAGCGGTGTGACAATGAGTCTAGAAGCAGCATGACATATGACACGACAGGTTTATAAACAGCATAGTGGGGAATGAGTGGGGCCCAGGCACTGTCCATAGAGTTCATGTGCAATGCATAAAGGACTGTAATGAACAGTGTTGTGGGAGTGGAAGTTAGGGCTTTGATATTAGTTATCACAGTGGAACCAACCAGGCTTTGATGTAAAGGAAGAGAGGCCTAAGGATGAGCCAGGCTTTTGAGTGGGGTTTACCCTGAACACAGAAACCTCAGCTGCTGTGATTTACTGTTACAATGTCCTACTGTACAGTTTGAGGTAAGAATTTGGGGGCTGAGATTTAAGAGAAAGATGAGCCCAAGATGAAGGCTGAGCACCATCCACATGGAGATGCACATTAAGGTTGGGTTTGGCATGCTATACCACTGTCTTCTGCAAGCATTCTGTGGATGAGAGTTCAGTGGGCTCAGGGTACCCAGCTCTGAGGTGCACTCACCACACCTAGTGTTTATTCTGTGAAGTGGGGTATGCTGGGCATCTGAGGAAGGGGAGCCCAAGGGAGCAATGGGTGTTGTGAACCAAGGAGTGTGGCATTTCAGAACAAAGGGCAGTGGGGCCATACCTGTCAGGAAGAGAACCGGACTGATAGGCCCTTCCAAGTCAATAAGTGTCTCTTTTACTACAAATCTGTGAATACCTAAAAATTCCATTTTCTTATTGACTACCAGCAGTTCTGCATCACAGGGATATTCACTAGTGACAACATTTCTATATCCAAATTTTACTACAAACTTCTACTTTCAGCCTTGATGTTAAGATTAGTATCCAAATTAGATTAATGCCTAATGACTTCTCTTGATGCTCAAGAAATATTTGTTCATTTGATTTGGTTGACTGCTCTTCAGAGACCCAAGGGTAAACAATCTCCAGAAAGAGTAGTCAATAGATGAACAATCCATAGTAAGCTCCTCTGAATGATCAGATAAATAGAGAATCAAATCATATGCCTGTAATCCCAGCATGCTGGGAAGCTGAGCATAAATTTGAGCTCACCCAAATGGGGCAAGTTAGTGACTCCTTGATACTCTGTTTTAAAATAAAAATTTAAAAGGGTTGGAGATATAGATCCATTTGAAGACTTTGGGTTTAATACCTAGTACCACCACCAAGGCAGGGTGGGGTTGGGGGGTTGGAGACAAATTATAGACAAAACAACAGTTTGCTCAGTTTTTTAAATGACCAGAACTTACAAAAGAAATGGATGGAGTACACTGAAATGTACAGCTAAGCAAAGTATTAATGAGAATAAAGAAGATATTCCCTGTCTTAGGAAAAAGTACAATCAAATACAAAGGGTCAACCACTGTTCTACATTCACAAGTCTAAGTATTTAGGAAAAACATCCAGAGCCTGAATAGGTAAATGGCTGCACATGCACGTCATCCATGATGAAAACTGATCTCTCTGTAGAACGAGCCATCTCTGCGCACAGATACGCAGGTGTCGCACTGTAGAACTGTCCTCAGGGCTGCACTGCAGGACTGGATTCCTTACTAGACAGGGGCTCCACAAGACTGTAACTGTGTCAGTGAGGCTATGACACTAGCCCACCAGGAAGACAGAACTTAATGCAGTACAGGCTGAACCAATAAAAGGGACAGGCTGAAGGAAACCACTATTACAGTGAGAAAACTCCAGCATGGAGCAATACTAGTATTTTAAAAACTCAGTAACTTTGTAAAAACGGACTTAAAATTAAAAAAAAAAAAATTGCTTACAACCTTAAAAACCAATGACAACAATAACCCTCTGTGGTACAGTTTTGCTTACTCTGAATATAATCCTTATTAAAATTCAGTTTCTTTTTTAATTCTTAGTGGAGACAGAAAACAGCTGATTACAGTTCTGAGATATTTAATATTTAGAACATGTGAGGGACTCAATGGCGTTTGCTTCTTTTTAGTTTAAACATAATACACACCTTTAAACCTTTATTTCCTGTAACATTTTGCTAATTTTCCTCAACTATACAGTAAATGGTTAGGTGTGGGGTGCACACCTGCAGTTCTGGCACTCATGAAGCTGAGACACGAGGACTGTTTGGGTTCAAGGCCAGCTTGAACTACATAGTGAAGACACGATCTCAAAATAACAAAACGAAACAACAACAAAAAAGGTAAATATAAGTTTTTTTTGCCTTAGAAAACTGACTCCTAAAAATGATTATATAAAACTAGAATAAATCTTAAGTTTGTGGACGGCTAAGAATAGAATTTTGGCTTATATACTGTTCACCTTATATGCTTTTTCACCATTAAAAATTATTAATTCGAAGAAATTATTAAGCTTGTTTTTCTTTGAACAATAGAAAAACAAGCTTAATAATTTTAAACTATCAGCACCCAGGAGGCTGAAGCAGAACAGCTTTGAGTTCAAGGTCAGCCTGGGCCACATGAGCTGAAGGCCAGCCTGAACTATATAGTGAGACCCTGTCACAAAAAAATCAAGACAAAACACTATCATATATCACTAACCAATGTCAGCTAATCATTCTTACACTCTTGAAGGCAGAAAGAGTTTTCTTCTCAACACTTAAATTATAATCAGGTATCTTAGGACAGGATGAGAGGGCTTGATTTATCCTTCCCATTACCTTTTCCATCTCACATATGAGTAAACCAAAGTCCCAGAGAGGTTAAGTGTTTTGTTTAAGTGACTCATTTAGAAAAAAATAAATCACTTGGGAGGCTGAGGCACAAGGATTGCTTTATGTTCCAGGGCAGCATAAGCTACTAAGTGAGTTCAAGGCCAGTCTGAACCATACAATGAGATCCTGTCTCAAAAAGATCCCACCCTCAGCCAGAAAAGAAGAGCTGCCCAGAAAACAGCTACTAACTGTGTGCTTTACAATCTTCTGAAAGCTGAGGACTGCTTTTCATGACCACTTCTAATCCTGCTGCTGACTTAAGAGGATTACCACCACCTTCTTTTTTTTTTTTTTTTTTTTTTGTTCTTTTGAGATAGGTTTTCACTATGTACTCAGGCTGGCCTTGAACTTACTTGTAGCCCAGCCTGGTCTCAAACTCACAATGATCCTCCTGCTTTAGCATCGCAAGTACTGGGGTTATAGGTATGCACTATCTTATACTTTGGAAATAAGAGTCCGTAAAGACATTCTGAGATATATTATTACCAGCAAAGGTACTAATCAATGTACATTTCAAATGTGCTACACTTACTGACATTTCTCTAAGTGGCTGATTTAGCTTTTGTTTATTCAGCACAAGTCACTGGATTGAAGGCCATGGACAAAGCAGTGAGTAAAACTCCCAGAGCTCTATTCTTGCCTTGTAAACTTTAACCTCATGCTGTATGTAACAGAGACCATGTCTGCACATGAGAACTGTGTCAGGGTTCCCTGAATCCCTGGTTGCTGATATCATGCCCACAACACAGTAGATTCCCAGGTATATTTGCATTACTCTGTTTCTCAGTAAGGAAAGTTCCCAGGGCTACGAGTACTTACCAGTGAGAAAATTCCGCAGCCGTCCAAACTGTACTTCATATTGCTGGGGTTCTGCCTGGCAAGGGGCTGCAGACACTATGTTGGCACAACCAGATTCTGCCTGGACTAAAGAGGGAAAGACAAGGTAGGGGTGGGAAGACAATTAGTAAGTAGCCTGAACATGATGGGAGGAAGGAAGGGTGTCAGACTGTGTCAGCTGCAGGAGCTGTCTGAGTAGACTTTGAGTGTGTGGGTTCTGATGAAATGCACAGGCTGTTTTTTTATCCTCCCTGTCACCTGACCCAGTAAAATGGTGAGGATGAGAAGAAAACACAGGCCAACTAAGTAGAATAAGAGGGCAGGCCTGTGTGTCCCTGAAAAGTATATCTGGAAATGTTTAGTCCTATGTTTGATAAGTAAATAGCTGTGGGGTTGACCCTGTCAACCACTGGGGCCTTTCACCCTGGGATCTATACCTTCTAGTTTTGAGGAATTTTCTTCAATCATTTCTGGTCACTCCTTATATTAATTGTATTCACTATAGGACAAGATGAAGGGCAGCAAAAACCTGACAATGTCCTCAATGTGGGTCATGGCTTGCTCTGAGACTACAGCACAAGTCTGGCTGAATCTGCTCACATATTCTCTAAGCCAGATCCACCCATTCTTTTCATCTTCAGCTTCCAGAGAGCTTCCCTGGTCAGAATCAAGGCCAGGTGGTGGCTTTGGTGTAGAGTAGCAGGTTCCTCATCTCTAGCAAATCAGGTTGACAAGTCCTGGAGTGCTTCCTTCTGAACTTGCCATCACAGCCCTCGCTTGGTGTGTGTGCAGTCTCCTGCCACCTGCATTGAGTGCCCTTGTGCTGCAGCTGGGAAGCAGGAGACAGCACCACTGAGCTGTCCATGGTTCACACATGGTGGATTTCAGGAAAGTTTTGTAAGTTCAAAAAAGAATTGCAAGTTCTACTTCCTGAGACTTCTATGATATAAAAGCTGGCTCTCCTGAGGCTTTAATCTCTTCTACATTCCATTCCTTTGATTTTCTGCTCTACTTTTCGGAAGTTTCAACTTTCAACTCTTTTGCTGATAATTCCTTTTCACTATTACACATTTAATAGACATTTCAATTATTCAGAGTGCCCCCTCCCCAGTATTATCTTATCTCTAGGCTATGATGATGGTAGTTGGCTTCCTGGAGTTGGTGGAAACTGAAGGTGGGTGGTTCATCACTCGGAATGACCTTCATAGATAACTTCAATTTTAGTATCTTTAGGTCTTTTTGTCCCGGGAAAGCCAGAAACCTAACGAACAATCTTTTACTGGATTTCCTTGAGGTATGACATCGCACTGTTTAGGGTGGGCAACTGGGCAAAGCTGACTGGGAGAAGAGGACTGGCACCTCAACATTTAGTATGTAAAGAAGCACTTATTTCTGTGAGCTTGGATATCTATTTACCTGTCTTATGGATTTAGTACAGGGTCTCACTTTGTGGTTGGGACTCATAGTTATCCTATTTTAGCCACCCCAGCACTGGGACTATAGGCATGCGCCACCACACCCCAGCATGTGGTACTGGAGATTGAACTTGCCTAGGCAGGCATTTTAGACCACTTAGCTATCTCTGTGGCATGTGTGTGTGTGTGTGTGGCCAGCTCAGCCCACCAGGGGGCGGGGCTGGCTGGCACGTGATGCTGGGGGATTGAACTGCTGTCCCTGTGCTTTGCTAAGCTTGTTCTAAGTAGGTGCTTTAGACCACTGAGCCATCTCACCAGCCCCCAAGTTTATGATTTCTAAAAACACCAATACCCTTGTCCTTTCTGCAGGGGCAAAAGGAATAGTGGAGAAAGGCACCTGGGCAGAAACCACCAACAAAGATGTAAATAAAACATACTCTAGTTAGTAAAATACAGATGGAAGAGTGGAAACAAGTTCAACAGGCCAAAGGAAGCCACTACACAAAATACACAGGAATGGAGGTGTGGATGAGCACATCAGGGGGCTAAGAGACAGTCTGAGCAAGAGGATCTGCAGGAAGGTCACACATGGAGGAGTGTTTTGTCCTTTTCCTTCGTCAGTCACAAAGTCCTGCCAATTCCTGAAACTTTCTCCTCTCCATTTCCATTGTAACTCAGGATGCCCTCACTTGTTTCCTGATCACACCTTCTACCTATTTTTCCCTGCCTCTGGCCTGGGACCCCTCTAGTCAGTACTGTCATTACCAGGAATCCCTGAAGTTGGCCTTCTATATCTTGCACATCTGCCTCCAACTTGCCCAGGTAGACTAAAGTTTCCCTGAAACTGAATTCATTCTTCCACTATTGCTGATGTTGATGGCACGCCAAGAAGTATGAAGTCTCACAGGAAGGCTTCCTTGCCCTCTAGACGAACCAGACAAGCAGCTTCTCTGCCCTTATATACCGGAGCTGAGCACATCATACCCTCCTATAATCCTTGACTTCTCACTTGAATAATCTTGGCTGTCACTTTAATTAGTTATCTTTGGTCTTTTTGAGACAGGATCTTGCTAAATAGTTCAGGCTAGCTTTCAACTCACTTTGAGTCCAGACTGGCCTTGAACTCAAAGCAATCCTCCTGCTTCAGCTTCCTAAATGCTGGGATTACAGGGATGCACCACCATGCCCAGCCCTTGTTACATTTTTTTTTAGCAGTTATCTGCCTATAACATGTACAATAAATGTTTGCTAATGAGGATTCCATCACTCAAATTCCTAGTTAACAGAAAGACCAGGACAAAAAATTATAAGCATATTGCACTGTTACTTTTCCTAGTGGCTTCCAGCACTGATGTACTCTTTCCTGAAATCAACCATGTGTGAACCATGGACAGCTCAGTGGTGCTGTCTCCTGCTTCCCAGCTGCAGCACAAGGGCACTCAATGCAGGTGGCAGGAGACTGCACACACACCAAGCGAGGGCTGTGATAGCAAGTTCAGAAGGAAGCACTCCAGGACTTGTCAACCTGATTTGCTAGAGATGAGGAACCTGCTACTCTATACCAAAGCCACCACCTGGCCTTGATTCTGACCAGGGAAGCTCTCTGGAAGCTGAAGGTGAGAAGAATGGGTGGATCTGGCTTAGAGAATGTGAGCAGATTCAGCCAGACTTGTGCTGTAGTCTCAGAGCAAGCCATGACTCACATTGAGGACATTGTCAGGCTTTTGCTCCCTTTCACTTTGTTCTACAGTGAAGGCAATACACACTTAAAGCACAAAAAGTCCAAGTCTTTGACTCTGAGGGCAATGTGAAAGGCAGCTGAATCAAATGCTGCTATCAGGACTGAGCATGAAACCAATAAAGGAAGGACAGGTGGTTAACAGGTATATGGCAGAGTGACGTCCTGAATAAAGGGGGACTCTGTCTGCACATGCATAAGAGGACCCAGGGTTGAGCTGCTCCAACTCCACAAAGCCATTAACCTAGTTCATAATTGCCCTGAAGCATCACAGCAGCCTCCCTCACCTCCAGTACCACATTCAATGTAAGAAAACCACATCACAGAAAAACCTGAACTCAGGCTAGGGATATAGCTAAGCGGCATAAGCACCTGCCTGGCAAATACAAGGTCCTGAGTTTGATCCCAGGTGCCAAAAACAAACAAACAAACAACCTGAACTCACAAAACAAGTATTACAGGTGGAGTTAAGACCAACTTTCCTTAGAATCTGATCTCAAAACTATAGAAAAATGAATTTTAAAATTCTCAGGCTGTATCTGCAATACCAGTATTTCCCACAGCTTATCTCATAGTACTCTTCTCCAGTCTGCAAACTTGAGGTCTGTGGCTAAGGCCTTGTCCCCAAGGTCTTATGAAACAGGGAGGCTGCAAAAATCATCAGGTACAGATAACACAATCTAGAAGCTCTGGGGGAAGGAAGTACTATCCAGCCAGGGGGCAGGAACAAGAACCACTGGGAAGCCTGTTCTTTATCCAGTGAAAAAAGGTGCTCCACGCATCACCAACAGAGACCCTGCTCCAGGCCTGCACAGTCACCTGTGAGGTTGGCTGCCATCTCCTCAGCAGTCTGAGATAGACGCAGGCCTTGCTTCAGGGGGCCGTCGGAATCCACATACTGCCGGCGCTTGAGGTAGCAGGACACTGCCATCTGGACGTGCTCGGTGCGCACCCGTTTCATGACCTGGGAAGGAACCACAGGGTGAGAACCAAGAGGTCAGATGAGGAAGACTGTGGCTAAGGGCTGTTTCAGTGTCCAGTTAGGACACAAATATGACTCTTGATTAATAACCTGGCACTCTATTTTTTCCCCCCTGGCTATCTAAGTTTGGTGATGCATGAATAAGCCATGCAGGTTACCCCCAAAGTCCAGTGAATACCATGGTTTCAGTCACCCCAGTGAGCTTTTATTAGAGCTGCTAACAAGCAAGAGGGCCAGCCAACAGAATACTGACAGTGTAAATAGGCCTTTCATTTCTCCTTCTGGTTCTGAGAGGTATTAGCATTGAACCCACAAACAAAATCAAAGACCTGTGAAGTAGATGTTGACAACATGAGAAATCAATAATGGGGAAGGATGTAAAACTTCTTTGTAATGGTCAGGAAAAGGCTACCAGCTCCTATGTTTTCAGATTTGATTAGTATGTTTTCATATCAAATCAACTGTCTTTGTCCTGGTTTAGTTCAACCACAAATTAAAACGAAAGAAAGAATTCAAAACAGTAAGAGGACATGTGCATTGGTTAAAATATGTCTCATAAATTCCATTAAGAAAGGAAAATGGTAGAAAGTGAGCTGAAATGTTATAATAATTTAGGCTATTTTGAGGGCTCATAAAAAATGACAACAAATCAGAGGGGAGAGGGGGACAGAGGTAGGAGAGCAACAAAGAAAAAAGGGATTAATTTCTTTCATTACTGAGTTTATTATTAAGAATTATGGAAACCTCTAGTATTGTCCTGGCCTCAAACACTGCTTTGCCAGAAATAAACAAACTGCAGCAGAAGCCAAATGGCATTGGGATGAATTTTCTAGGATCACTTCTGTCACGTAAGACATATTTTTTACTCAAGAATTAAAATATAGTGTCCATTCTGGAAGGCATATATATATATATATATATATATATATATAGCCATACCTATGCGAAAGTAACATTCTCTGAACAAGGGTTTCCAGGATGGAATGGGGACCAAGTTTTATCACTGATGTGGCTGTATTTAAGTTTTCAGTTTCAGCTGTTTTATGTGTCAGTTTTTTGAGAGTTGCATTCTTTGAGATATAAAATTCTTCCCTTTAAAAAATTCTATCCTTTCCAGAAATTTATTTTTTCTTACAATCTTTTTCAAAAGTTCATTTCTATCTATAGTTTTTACCCATCTGCAACTTTTTTTTTTTTTTTTAGTGGATCATATGCATAAATAGCCAAATAAGTGTTTTGTAGAGTCACTGTGCAGACACCCTGCTCCTGGATCATGCCTAAGTGCACCTTCTTTCCAAACTGGCCTGCAAGACTCTGAAGATTCACTTCAGTTCTCCAGAAGTCACACAACAGAGAAAACAGTGAAGGTTAGAAGGTACATACACATTTATAAGCAAAACATTAGGACATCATGTCTATGTCAAAGTATGAGCACAGAGATTACCCTATCTATTCAGTTCATTTCTGGATTATCATAAGGAGTACAAAACACCTTTCAGAAAGAAAGGTCTAATAAGGTTGTGATTAAGCAATATAACAAAACCCAATAAGGGCTAGGATTATAGCTCAGTGGCACAAGTGCTTGCCTGGCAAGGGCAAACTCCTAAATTTGATGTCTGGTATCAAAAAACAAACCAAAACAAAAAAAGCCATACTGAGCTGTGTGTGCATCATCAGGCCCCTAATCTCAGCACTCTGAGAGGCTGAGACAGAAGGATTACAAGTTTGGGCCCAGCCTAGAGAACTCAGCAAAGCCCTTTCTCCAAAAAAGAGGAATGGGGATATAGTTAGGTGCAAAGCTCCTGGTTCAATCCCCAGTACCAAAAAGCACTAATTACTTCCCAATACTGAACTATCATTTTATTATGGAATTTGGTTTTCTTCATGATGGCCCATTATTTTTTCACCATATCAGTGACCTATTTTTAAATTAGGATTCATTTTTCTATTGCTCACAAAAGGATTCTGATTACTTTAAGGGTGACATCCCTGCACTTAGCATCATTTGCCCATGAGTGAAGACACGTAACTTTTTTTGTGGCCATTAATAGGCATTACTGTATCAGCCTGACTATATCTAAGGTTTTCTGTTATCTAACCTGGCTACACATGAATATGTACATATACAAATACGTTCAGCACTAGAGAGCATATGAACCAGCTAATGTGAAGGGCTTTTCCTACATCCCTGTAACATCTGTTAATCTCTCTCAATATCTCTATCTCTATCTCTATTTCTCTTTCTTTCCACTACCAGGGATCTAACTCAGGACACTTCCACCACTGAGCTATCTCTCTGACCCCTTAACACTGCTTTTATTTCTAATTCAAGAATGCTTAGTTTGCTACTGTCTCAAACCAGCTTCATGTCATATTTGGGTAAGACCAAAAACCAAAACCAAAACACCATGAAGAACATGCCCCAATTAACAGCCCCAAGTGGCAGTCTTAATCCAATCAGCATGTGACAGCAGATCCTCCCTGAATCCCTGAGATCAGGCAGTGAGCCAACTGGAGGGCAAGGATGAGGCAGGAATTGAGCAGTACTGTAACTCTTAGGCACTATGTGGTTGTATATATACCATTACACAACTCGAATGCCAAAGATGTGGTTCAATCAACTTTGCTCATTTTATTCTGATAAGTGTATTTCACACCCACCCTGGGGCAGATAGCCTGAAGACAATAGAAGGTAAGAGGGGAGGCTTGCCTCCCCCACTGCTGCTACTGCCCCTCCCTTTTGCCTTTGCTCTTTGTTATTTTCCACTGTCAAGAACTGCTGCCCTCTGCCATGTGCTACTCTTCCTTGAAGCCAGCTGAGTATGGACTGAAACCTCCACAAACTGAGCTAAATAAACCTTTCCTTCCTTTTTTTTTTGGGGTGTGTGTGTGTGTGTGTGTGTGTGTGTGTGTGTGTGTTTTAAGGAAGGGTCTACAGGGTGTTCAAAGTCTCACTACTAGATTAGATTGCAGTAATCTGCCCATTTACAGCCTCCCAAGAGCTGGGAGTACAGGCACGCACCACCACACCCACTCTCTTTTCAGTGTGCCCCAGTAGACAGCAGGACCAGGGATCAAACCCTCGGCCCCTGCATCTGCTTGCAGGTGCTCTAATCCGCTGAACTATTTGGCTGGCTCTTTCTTCCTTAATTTTGGGTGTCAGGTATTTTGTCCCAGCAATGAGACAATAAGAAGTAACTGAGACAGCATACAATAGATTCATCAAGTTCATTCTCTTTTGAGTCAGACTGTTGACTAGTTTTGTTTTTTTTTTGGCCAGCTCAGTCTGCTCTGATGGTGGGGCTGGCGTGGCATGTGGTCCCCCGCGCCTGCCTAAGCTTGCCTAAGCAGGCAGCTTTAGACCACTGAGCTATCTTGCTGCCCCCCCCCCCTTTTGGTCTTTTTGAGTTCAGGCTAGCCTTGAACTCACCTTGTAGCCTAGGCTGGCCTCAAATTCATAGCAGTGCTCCTACCTCAGCCTCCCTACTACTGGGATTACAAGTGTGAGCCACTAAGCCTGGCTAGATTTCTTTTTTAGGTAAATATGTTTCCAATTGTAAATTTAGGCTCAAAAACAAATTATTTGCTTTTGTTAAATGGGATTCATTAAACACCCTCTTAGGTACTCAAATATTAGCTGTCTCTTCTTGTGGTATATCAAAAAAATCACTTAAAGTAGGGGTCGGGGAGATGGCTCAGTGGAATAAGTGCTTCCCTGGCAAGCACAAGGACCTGAGTTCAATCCCTGGTTCAAAAAAAAAAAAAAAAAAAAAAAAAAAAAAAAAAGTAGGCTCTTAAAAAAAAAACCTAGTCTTTGTATTAATCATGAAAAATCTTTATAAATATAAATCATAGATGAGAAATAAATGAGCCACACTACTCAAGTTTGTGATAGCTCACTCAGCTTTAAAATTCCAATTACAGGGGCCAGGGAACTGGCTCAGTAGAATAAGTGCTTGCCTGGCAAGTGCAGAGTCCTGAATTACCATTCATAGTCAGTCTCTGCTCAGACAGTCACAAACTTGAAATAGAAGCTATGCTATTTCCCATAGTGCCCCAAGGAACAAAATGGCACATGAATGAGTCCATGGCTGGGGCTCAGAAAGAAAAGTAGCCCCAGAGCTTTGCCAGCAGTGAGGAGCATATGGAAATCATGAAACAGCAGAGACTACCCGAAACACTTCTCCAACACTAGCTAGGCCCTCTGCAATGTCCCTCAAGTCTTTTCTTCTGGTCAATTACTTTCCATGTAGCATTTTCCCAGCCCTGCCATTCCAGATCTTCCCCAGTCTGTTCACCCAGCCTGCCAGACTTGCCCAACTCAATAGATTACTAAGAGATTTGTGTCTTCTATTCTGTCCAATGTAGCAGACACTGTCATTACTGTCCTTCCTGGTTATGAACACTGCTGACTCTTCATCCCATAAAACTCTCTCCATACTTAAGTCTAAAAAAGTTCATCAGTTGGATCCACCAATGATTCTGCTATTCCCCTTCACAAGCCTGCCTTTTGGTTCTCCTTGTCCACTCTCTGCTCCTCATTCTTCACTTCTCAGTGCATGCTACTACTTGCTCTGTCCTTAGTCAAATCCTGTCCAGAGCTCTATAGGTTCACAGGATATTTCCACCTGGAAAATGCAAAAGCCTCACTCAATGGGCTCACTGGAGAATTAATCTTCTCTTCAGAATCTCTTTCTTGCTCCTACTTTACCTAGAGAACTTCACAGTGCTATAATTTTTTTTTTGGAACTGGGGAATGAACTCAGGCAATTGCGCTTGTCAAGCACTTATTCTACTGAGCCATCTCCCTGGCCCAGTGCTATAATCTTTAAAGCAAAAAACCTAGCCATTATCTTAAGATTATTTCTTTCTTTTACTGACGAGGAGCCAAATTCTAAACATGAACTTTTCCTAGACTTAAAAGGTGGCTAGTGTAATGGAACCATTCCTGCTTTTCCATCCTCACTGCAATCTGCACAAATCACTTCTGAATGGGATCATTTTAACACTGCCATCTCGAATCACCCTTCTGAACACAGTCAAGAGTAAACAACAAATCTGCTCTTATTTTCAGGTCCTATGTCTCATGAAGGCTGGTTATGTTAGCCACCACTGATCCTGTTTCCCCTAACAGATGGAGAGTCCTCTGGGCTTTTCTCATGTTTTCTTTTCCTTTCTTTCTTTCTTTCTTTCTTTCTTTCTTTCTTTCTTTCTTTTTTTTAGACAAAGTCTTGCTAAGTTAAGGCTGGCTCTGAATTCTCTATGTAGTCTGGGTGAGCCTTGAACTCCCACCTTAGCTTCCTCAGCCTCTCAGTGTTGCTATTACAGGCATGTGCTACCACACCCGGTTTTTCTCATCTTTGAAACTCATGAACAATAAGGGAAGTACTATCTAGCTTGTGCTCAGATTTCCTGAAAGTCTACTTTAAGCTCAAAATATTTTTTTAAAGTTTAAGAATCAAAAAAGTCACAAGTATTTGGATCCTCCTTTAATACCTATTTTACACAGAAGAACTGATTTATACATAGTATGGAAGAGCATAGTATAACTTACACAAAAAGGGCCATTTATGCTGTTTACTAGTTTGACCATAGAGGAGAATCTTCATGTATGCTACTTGACACAGAATAGGATAGTCTGTTCTCTGAGAATAAGAAGAACATGTTTTCCTATACTTACCACTATCCTTGAAACAACTCAAATGCAAATGAGATCTTACAGAAGCTTCAATATTAGCACATTTGTGAGAGGCTTAGGGGATGTATTTCAGTGGCAAAACATCCACCTGCTGTTCATGAGGCCCTGGTTCAATCTCCAGCACCACAAAACAAAACACATTTTATATGGGTATTTATGTGTTTCAGAATGTGGTGGTCTTCTGTTTTCATTCTGCAGCAATACCGTCCCAAGAGCAAGCTCACAAAGATAGAAGCTCCTTGATCTGTATTACTCAGTACACCACCCAAGGCTTATGAGCAACCAAAGTGTGGCTAGCACAACTGAGGAACTGAGTTAATTTTAACTAATTTTTAATTTAAGTAGCCATGTGACCAACGTACACTGTATACAACATTACTCTGAAATGAATATATCACCATCTTAGCTCAAAAACAACTCATGGAATATATCATGACACTTATATCAATTACAAAATCTCCCAAAGTTAGCATTTTGCTTTTAAAATCAGAACTTTCTTCATTACTAACACTGCAGGGTCTCAGTGGAAGGGTATGCCCCGTGTTTGACTCCTACATGAGGAATTAGTCATGAAAGTTATTTGTAGCTCATTCTAAACACTACCAGTACAGTGTTTTTCAAATGTCTTTTTTGGTAGTGAAATAAAGCAACAGTATTATCTGCAAAACTTTCAACTAAGACGTAAAAATCAAACATAAGAAACCTTACTGTTGAGCAGGGCTCAGTGGTCTAAAGCGTCTGTTTAGGCAAGCACAGGGACAGAGGTTCAATCCCTGGCACCACATGTCGCACCAGCCCCACCCCCAGGGCGGGTTGAGCCAGCCCCCCACCCCCACAAAATTTGCTCTTGCAATGGGAAAATTAGGCAAAAAAATTTTAATCAGCTTTAGTCATTTATATATACACATACACACAAAAGGGTTATAGATGAAAGGTAAATATCTTTTTTTTTCTTTTATTTTTTTGAGACAGGGTTTCACTATGCAGTTCAGGCTGGTCTTGAATTCACTTTGTAGACCCAGCTGGCATCAAACTCACAAAGATCTTCCTGCCTCAGCCTCCTAAGTGCTGGGATTACTGGCATGTGCTACAACACCTGGCAGAAAATGTCTAATTTTATCCTTCATACATATTTATATACCACCAGGAGTGTTATATATCATATCAAATTCTACTTTGCAGACTACCTCACTTTTATATCTGCTCAACTGGTCACCACACAGCACTTCCTGAATCCATTCCTGGGAGATCTCAGCAAAAGCTGCTGACACTAATGCAGGTGGGAATACTTTTTCATTCCCCATTTATTGTGATTTTGGCCATCAGTAAAAGCTGTTTCCAATGGCATCTAAGATTTGTACTCTGTGAATGTGCTTGGTAATAATTATTGAATATTACCTGGTTTTCTGTTTGTATAATTTTTTTGTATTTATGGGTAATGGGAATCGAACTTAAGACATGTTTGCCAGACAGGTGTTGTGCTTCTGAGCTATATCTCCAGCCCCTGTTGGTATAACTGATTTTGGTAAGACTGAATATCCCAAACTAGTGTCAGCTGAGGTTGTATTATGGCGCTTTGTTGTTCAGACCAATGCTGAGCGTCCTGACAAGAGCCTATCTTGCAATCTACCATATATTAAAATGTGACTTCAGGAAGGAAGACTGCCTTAAATGATCTTGGGTTTTTTTAGGCCTTCTGAGAGTGCTCAGTGCCTAGATTTGGAATAAAAAGCTATTCTTTGCTAAATTGCAGTTTTCCTTTTGAAGTCACAAGCATATACAAAACTGTTAGGACAAGGAGATTGATCTTTCCTGCTTTCTACCTACTACTGTACTACTGCAACACAATTTTTTGAAAGAGTTAATCTGATGCCATCTGTACTCAGTTTATTTATTTATTTATTTAAAATTTTATTTATTTATTTATTTTGTGTGTGTGTGTGTGTGTGTGTGTGTGGCCAGCTCAGCCCACCAGGGGGTGGGCTGGCTGGCATGTGGTGCTGGGGGATTGAACCGCGGTCCCTGTGCTTTGCTGAGCTTGTTCTAAGTAGGTGCTTTAGACCACTGAGCCATCTCTCCAGCCCCTGTACTCAGTTTAAAACCTTTCATTGCCTTCATTAGGGTAGAGATTTAAAAATCCAATTTTGACAATCCAAAATTGACGGTGTCACTTCAAGGTCACTCTGATCTGCTTTTGTTTACCTATATGGACCAACCCTTAGTTTTTACTCTATGGGTGGGCCTATCTGGCTTTCTTATCCTAGGGGCTTTGTTGAACCCTTCTCTGTTGATCAGGGGCACCTCATATTGGTATTCCAACCCGGTCTGAAAAATATCCTACTGATGCGTCACAGTTCCACCTACTTCTCCCCCAGCTTCTTTGATCTCCATACCCCGCAAATAAGCCTCTATTACAGTACTTACCATCCTGCACCACCACTAACACCTAACACCCACTAGTCAGCCACTTTTTTTTTTTTTTTTTTGTGCCAGGGATCCAACTCAGGACCTTTCACTTGCCAAGCAGGCATGTTAGCCACTGAGCTAACTCCCCAGCCCTCAGCCTCTCTTTTAACTGATTCACATGATAATCTCTTTTAAACTCACAACTCTACAAGGTAGATAGCATTCTTCAGATGGGAAAACGAGGCTCAAAGAAGCCGGACTACTGAATTATGTAGTTCCTCAATGGAAATTTGGCTCTCACACTGCTCTGTTTGGGCTTACTCTTTACAGTACTCACCTTCAATACAAATCCTATGTTAGACTATGAGCTTCCTGAGGGAGAAAGGGAGTGAACTTGTACTAAATGCCTGGTGCAAAATTGGCAAAACAGTTACTATCTGAGATGCTGGCAGTTCCAAGAGATTGGAATTTTGTGACTTCCAGAACTGTGCCCTGAACAATAAAGGCTCAACATATGATCCCTGGTCCCCTCCCAGCTAAAATAAATCATAAAACAAAACAAAAATAAAACAAAAAACACAATGCTTTTTTTCTAAAAAGGTCTGACTGAAGAAACAAAAGCCAAGAGTCAAGAAACCAAGCAGTTAGGTGAGATCTTTTCCTAGTGTCAGTGACAGCAGCACACACAAATCTCACAAAAGGCAGGAATATGACTGCACCAAAATACACTAACGTTTTACATTTTTAGTAGCGTGTTTGTAGTATAGAATGATTACATTTATTGTGGGGAACTGATACATGCACACATTTCAACTCCAACTTAATTTATTGCTGACAAAGAAAAGAGCTCAAGGCAAGTCCACCTTTTGGTTTCCTGGCTTAACTATTTTCAAGGTAGGACAGGCTTGTTTTATATATATATATATATATATATACACACACACACACACACACACACACATCACATTTCCAGAAAACAAACTTAGGCCTACACTGGACCTAAAGTGTATTTTGTCAAAAAAGATAATGTAACAGTTACTTTCTCTTTTTCATGTCAGGTTTTCACTGTGCAGCACCGGCAGCTGGCCTTGAACTTACGACTCTCTATAACCTGAGCCTCCCGACTTCGACTTCAGGGATTTACAGGTGTGCGACACTATGCTTGGCTAATGACTTACTTACTATACATTGACACGCATCTTTTTCTGGGTACCTTCAAACAGGTCCGGCCTTAAGTTATCAAGCTGTTTTACAAAGAGTAAGCTAAGACCCACGAAGGGTAGGTACATAGGCCGACAGCTACATGGTTGCAACCCTAGCTTATAATGTTACAAAGCTCTCTCCACCGCATTAAGCGCCTCAGAGTTTAAAGCAGCAGCAGCCAGAAGCCTTTAACCTGCCCACAGATTCCTTTCCTATTCCCGCTCTCTAGCAGACAGGGCTGTGCAGAAGCTCTGTCCGGCCTCTGAGCCCTCAGCCCAGCACAGGACCCACACACGTGTGTCACCTCGCCCTCGACCCGCGGCCCGGATGGGCCTCCGGTTGGCAGCCAGCTGTCCCAAGTCCGCGCGGGACTTGGGCGGACTCACCGCTCGGCGCCGGA